CCAAGGTGTATACCCTGTACATGAGGCCACTGTCCCAGAGTGGACTTTGAAGAGACCCTCCTCCCCTCGAGACTCCTGGCAGAGTGCACTGGTAGCCTTTTATTTATTTATTTATTTTTGAGACAGAATCTTGCTCTGTCGCCCAGGATAGAGTGCAGTGGCACGATTTTGGCTCACTGCAACCTCCATCTCCCAGGTTCAAGCAATTCTCTGCCTTGGCCTCTCGAGAATCTGGGATTACAGATGCCCACCACCATGCCCAGCTAATTTTTGTATTTTTAGTAGAGACGAGGTTTCACCGTCTTGGCCAGGCTGGTCTTGAACTCCTGACCTTCTGATCCACCCACCTCAGCCTCCCAAAGTGCTGGTATTACAGGTGTGAGCCACTGCGCCCGACCTGATAACACCTCTTACAAAGACATGGTGGTAAGTGGGCTCCTACCCTCCTGGATCAGGACGAAACATAATGTCTCCATGCCCCCTCATTTGCACCCAGAGCCTCACTTTGCAGATGTGAAAACTGAGGCCCAGAGGGAGACAGGGGCTGCCGAAGATCACATGAGGAGTCAGCCTCACACAGAGCCAGACTGCAACCCTTTTCTCTAAATATACTTTTAAATTAAAGCATATGGGATACACAGAGATTACAATACACAGATATTGTAAACTCAGAGCTTCATAAACTGAAAACACTTGTGTAAGCCACATTCAGATCAAGAAAGAAAAAGTTACAGACACCTGGAAGTCCTTCAAGTGCCTCTTCTCATCACCATTTCCCAAAGAATAACCACTGTCCCCACTTCTGAAAATATGACATCATGACTTCTGACATCATGGCTCATGACATCATAACTTATGATGTCATGACTCATGACATCAGGGCTTCTGGCATCATGGCTCTTGACATCATGACTTAATAACTTCTGACATCATGACATCATAACTTTCTACATCATGGCTCCTGACATCAGGGCTTCTGGCACCATGACTCTGGCATCATGGCTCCTGGCATCATAGCTTCTGACATCAGGGCTTCTGACATCATGGCTCCTGACATCATGGCTCCTGGAATCATGGCTCCCAGCATCATGGCTCTGGCATCATGGCTCCTGACATTAGGGCTTCTGGCATCATGGCTCCTGGCATCAGGGCTTCTAGCATCATGGCTCTTCACATCATGACATCATGGCTCCTGACATCATGACATAATAACTTCCTACATCAGGGCTCCTGGCATCGTGACATCATAACTTCCTACATTATGGTTCCTGACATCATGGCTTCTGACATCATGACCTCTGGCGTCAGACCTTCTGACAGCATGATTCCTGACATCATGGCACCGTAACTTCTGACATAATGGCTTTTGGCACCACAGCATCATAACTCCTGAGATCAGAGCATTATAACATCACAACTTTCTATATCAGCACTCCTGACATCATAACTCCTGACATCAGGGCTTCTGGCATCATGACATCATAACTTCTGACATCATGGCTCCTGACATCATGGCACCATGACCCATTTCAATGGAATCACATGTTGTGTATTCTTTGGTGTCTGATTTCTTTCACTCAACATTGTGTTTGTGAGACTCATTCATTCTTATCATTTATTCCCATTGTTGTATTTGATGGTATGACCACACCAGTTTATCCATTCTACTCTTGTTGGACATTTGGGTCATTTCCAGCTTGAGGACTGTCATGAATAGTATCACTGAGCATTGTACATGTCTTTTGGTGAACTTATTTATGGATTTTTCTTGGTTACATACCTAGGAGAAAAATTGTTGAGTCATAGGCTAGGCATACATTTAGTTTTAATAGATATGATGAAAAAATGTTCCCAAATTATTCTACAGGTTCACAATTTACATCCACTCTGACCAATAGAAACCGAATTTTGGTGGCTCCACATCTTTGCCATCACTTGCTATTCTCTCTCAGTCTTTTACTTGCAGCCATTCTGTTCACTGTGCATTATATTATAGTGTTAATTTTCGTTTTCCTAATGAGTAATTACCTGATTCACAGCAAATGCTTAGTTTACTGATTATTAGGTTTTCTGACATTCTAATTTTTGCATTGAAGTCACAAATTTCCATCTAGTTATAGCCTTACCTGCATCACTTCTGTATCCCTGAGTGAAAGCTCTGAGCCGGGGTCTGCCTGGGAGAGCTTCCCTGGGTGCCTGGAGACCCCTCTGCCCCTGGAGCCTGGGTCTTATATCTGACAAAGTGTGTCCCTCCTTGGGCCCAGCCTATGTTGTATGAGGTACAGGTGTCCATTTTGCAGGAGCAGAGGGTTCCTCCCTGAGCCTGGTCTCCTGTGGGAGCCTAGGGACCCATCTAACCTGCCACTATCCAGGATGCATCCCAACTCCACTGCCTGGCTCATGCATCTGAGAAATGGAAACACTCTTGTTTCAAAGATCGCAGGGTCCACCCTGTTCTTGCTCCAGACTGGGAGTGGGTGAGTTGCTGAGATGCCGGCCCCAGCTCTGCTCCTCAGCTAATCCAGCTTCCCTGGATGTGTCAACCCTCTGCTGCCAAAACACATGATAGCAACCCAGCTCCCTCTCTGTGGGAGAGGGCTGATAAGCTACAATGATGGGGACTCCAACAAGAGGAGTGGGCCCCTGGGTGTGCCACTGCAGGCCCTCCCATGTGGTGCTCACCAAGGTCTCCCCGGCCAGCCCTGCTGAATCTGCAGATGCTGATGCTTTAGAAAACAGCCTGTCCAAAGAGTGACAGGTGACACAGCTCCAGCCCCAGAGTCCCTCACACAGCCCCACACAGAGTGGCCCTGGGCAAAGGGCTCTTCCCTGGGGCCACCCAATAGCACTTCCTGATCTGGCGGTGGTGGGGACCACTCATTGGAGTTGTTTTCTGGGCACTTCTGGAGTCAGAGGAGACTTAGGGTAAAAGTGTCTCAAGGCAGCCAGGATGAAATCATGGTTAGCATGGCAGGTGAGAAAGATCTACATGGAAGATACCATGGGCAGGGCCCAGCCACAGGGTAGAGGAGGAGCCTTTGTGGGTGCACACTTGCCGCCTTCAGAGCAAACGCATGTCCACCTTGGCCAGCCCCGGGCAGCACGTCTCATCTCAGCAAATCTCTGTTGTGCTACAGACGCTCCGGTCACACATGCCTCACCTTGTAAGAATCAGTTTGCATGTGTTAGCCAAGGAGTGCACCCCAAAGGGTTTTGCCTTGCACGTAGTGGGGCTCAGCCAATTTGGGTGCATCGATTCCTCAGGCCTGATCTCAGGGACAATGCTTACTCCAGAGTGGTCAGAGGAGAGGCCACCCTGGTCCTGCATGCAGGGTCCACAGTGCTGTACAAATGGTGCACAGTCCTTCATGCAGTGTCCATAATGCTACATGAATGGTGCACAGTCTTGCATACAGGGTCCAGAGTGCTGTAAGAATTGTGCATGCTACATGAATGGTGCACAGTCCTGCATACAGGCTCCAGAGTGCTGCATGAATTGTGCATGCTACATGAATGGTGCACAGTCCTGCATGAAGGGTCCATATTGCTACATGAGTGGTGCACAGTCCTGCATGATGCATCCACAGTGCTGCATGAATGGTGCACAGTCCTGCACGAAGGATCCACAGTGCTGCACGAATGGTGCACAGTCCTTCATGCAGCGTCCATAATGCTACATGTATGGTGCACAGTCTTGCATACAGGGTCCAGAGTGCTGCATGAATTGTGCATGCTACATGAATGGTGCACAGTCCTGCATACAGGCTCCAGAGTGCTGCGTGAATTGTGCACTGTCCTGCATGAAGGGTCCATAATGCTACATGAATGGTGCACAGTCCTGCATGAAGGGTCCATATTGCTACAAGAGTGGTGCACAGTCCTGCATGATGGATCCACAGTGCTAGATGAATGGTGCACAGTCCTGCATGAAGGATCCACAGTGCTGCATGAATGGTGCACAGTCCTGCATGAAGGGTCCACAGTGCTGCATGAGTGGTGCACAGTCCTCCATGAAGGGTCCATATTGCTGTATGAATGGTGCACAGGCCTGCATGCAGGGTTCACAGTGCTACATGAATGGTGCACAGTCCTACATGAAGGATCCACAGTGCTGTATTAATGGTGTACAGTCCTGCATAAAGGATCCACAGTGCTGAATGAATGGTGCACAGTACTGCATGAAGGATCCACAGTGCTGCATGAATGGTGCACAGTCCTGCATGCAGGGTCCACAGTGCTACATGAATGGTGCACAGTGCTCCATGGATGGTCCATGCTCCTACATGGATGCCTCCTCATCCTGCTCGGGTTCCAGCATCCAGCTCTGAGCCACTGTGGTGCTGCTTTGACCTCCTGTTCAGATACCCACCATGTTCAGCCTTGTCTAATTGGTTAGCACTCAATTTTGGGAAAGAGTATGAAAGTCAGAGAGAAAGCAGAAGAGCGGCCATGTTGACATCTTACATTAATTAATGCCTACAGAAAGTGTGTAAGTGTTTCTGCCACCATCCAAGGAGCTTGAAAATGCCTCATTACCAATGTTGCATATTACCTTTAAAAAAAGTTTCTTTTTATGTTTGCTTTATTTGATTAGTGATGACAGTAAACACTTTTCATGTTTATTGACTATTATTATCTTTCTCAAGTTTGTCTTCTCATGACTTGTTCATTTTCCAGTTGATATGTTAATCGTTATTTTTAAGAAATGATTGTAGAGAAGGGAAGTAGCCCATGAAAGCTTTTTATGACTCCCCTTATACTTTGTTTTTATCCTTATTTTTGCTATTGTCTTAAATTATAAACTTAATGTTAATTAAGTCTATTTTTGTGCACTTTCTTACACATTTTTCTTAAAATGTCATTTTTGCCTTAGAGCCAAAGAACATTGTTGTGTTTTATCTTCTTGTTTTTTATGGTTTTATTTTAAAATAAAAATTGCCTAGAACTTGCATTATAAGGTGATATGAGAAGATATTACTTAATGAACATCGTTTTTTTTAATCACATATCACAGATTGAATAAATCTTTCTCCAGAGATATGTAATGATACCATTAACCCCTAGTATATTATAATATGAACACATAAAATTATTTCATAAATTCTAATTCTTTCAGGAGTAATCTGTTTTCCCCGATATAACTGATAATTGCAGTTGTGCCACTTTTTTGTGATTGTAGCTTCACACTATGGTTTAATATCTGAGAGGGAATGTTCCTCCTTAATAATCTTCTCTTAAAATGGCTTGTGCTTCTTCAAGCTCAGTTGCTTTCCGGATAAGCTTTTGAATCCTATTAGCATGTTTTAAGACAGCCAAATATAGTTTTGTTTTGACTTTATAAGTTCTTAAATCCAGAGGAGAATTAATCTATTTGCTCATCAGTCTTTGTCTCCAGGGTAATAATGTGGTGATAATGTGTCTACACAGGTAAATTCCCTTAACCTTAGTAAGCCTGGGACCTTTCCTCACACTAAGCCTCAGTTTTAATACTGTTCTTAATCCAGTTCTCTGCTAAGTTCATGTGTGGGTTGTTAGTACTGAGGAGAGAACTAAGCTTGTCCATATTGCATTTTCTAATTTATGGCTGACTTTCTGGAGGAAATGTGTACATTGTATGCATTTACATTGTCACCGTTCTTACCACGTATTTCCTCTTCCTGTCGTATTGCAGTGGCCCTGTCAGTGCATCATTGAAGATGAGGCCAGACCAGCCCTAGAGGATGCACAAGGCAAGCAGCTGCACTTGAGTAACAGCAGTCAGGGTGCTGGGAGGGGCTCTGCTCAGTCCTAGCTGGGAAGACTAGTGTTAACCAACTGTGTACGTCTGTGCACGGTCCCAGCGGTATTTCTAGCACTGCTCAGGTTCACTTGGGTCAAAGGCCATGTCCCACCTCTCTGCCTAACCTCCTGGCTGTGTGGCCTTGGGTTTTTTCCAGCCACAGACACCATTCCCACTGCCCTTCTAGTCCCTGACCTTGGATCCTAGGAATTTTGCTCACACCCAAGCATCAGCCAGGTGGTAAGTCTGGGACCCTTGGTCCAGGCAGGGTGAGTGCAGCAAGATGGGAAAGGGCCTGGCCTGGCAGCCTCAGGAGAGAGCTAACTCAGAAAACCCACCAGGTGGCCCTACCTGTGAGGAGGATGCTCCTCAGAGGGCAGGGTCCTCCTCTGATGTCGTGCCCAGCCCTGACCCACCCATGGCCCACCTGCTCTGTGCTCACTGGAAATTCCCCAAAATGCACCTCTGTGGGGCTCACTTAGTGAAAAGTAAGCAAGTGAGCATCACGCAGATGGAAACCTGGTACAAACGGCTCCCTCCAGCAACCATGCTTGGCCTTGGTGAGGACAGCGCTGAAAGCTTGGGGAAGGCAGAGCCCTGGATGGCTATCCTTGCTCCTGCCTCAGCACACAGAGCCCTGGATTGTGCTCTAAGTCTGTGGCCTCTCCTTGCACAGGGAACAGGCCATGCAGAGACCCTGGCAGGCCACTGCTCCTCCCTGCCGTGGGCTGCAGGGATCCGGGGACCCTTGAAGATGCCATTCCTCCTATGGGCCTCAGCCTCAGACCCCAGGGAGCTGTCTCCGGGCACTTCTTGGCAAGTCCACCTCATGGCCATGCATGTTGGCTCAAGGTTTTCTTCCACGTCTGATTTCCAGGAGTTGTTTCCTGAAGATCTGGACCTGCCCCTAGACCTGAGCTGGATTACAGAAAAGAGAAAACTGGTGAAATCCACATCGTGTCTTTTCCTTCAAGGACATTTTAAAAATACATGTGGGAAAAATCAGAGTTTCAAAAATGGCAAGTGTTACGAAATAAAGTGCACACGTCCTCTTTTCTGCATGAAACAGAAAGCACGTGGTTATTTTTAGCTTCTGGAGCTCCACTGGAAATTGGGTGGTAGAGTTGCCAATGTGTACACAGAAGCCTTCTTTTTTTATCAGCCGCTGAAGCCTCCAAGGATAGAGTGTGATTCTAAAGGGTGCATTAAGGCAAACATTGAGCTAACAGAGTGAACGCTGCCAGCAAGCGGCAGTAGAGACGGGCGTCCCTGGAACGCCTCCACTTCCCTGGCTGCCTTGCCACACTCCCAGGATGCTCAAGGAAGACCCTGGTTTCCTAAGGGGGATTTGACGAGGTGCTAGCACACTGCTTGCCACACTCAACAAAGGGCATTATTATTTTTATTATTGTTGGTATCGTCAGTGTTCATCTGCAAATTCCAGTGTTAACTCACTTGATTCATTTTTTAACTTTGTATTTTGAGATAATTTTAGGCTAACAGGAAAGTTACAAATGTTGCAAAAGTCATATCTCCAGGGAACAACAGCCTGGATGAGTCACTCTTCCTTGTGGAAACTGACCCCGCACCTCCTGCCTTGCACAGATGTCAGGGAAGAGCGGTGGCTCTGGGGACTTCAGGGAGTGAATGTCAAGGAGGTCTTCAGAGCTCCCAATGCCCAAGCTGGAGAAATTCTAGGAAGAAAATGAATACTCATAGCACAGATGCTCCTGGACTGGTGAGGTCACATCCCAACAAACCCATGGTAAGTCTAAAATGCCCCAGGTCAAAATGCATTTGAGGCATCTCACCTTCCGGGCATCATAGCTGAGCCCTCTCACTCAGACGTGCTCAGAGCATGGACACGATGCTGCAGTTGGCAAAATCATCTCACACTGCTCATGGCTGCCTGCAGATTCTCACTAGCTGCCAGTGCTTCCTGGGGCGGTCGTGAGAGGGTCTGCAGCTGCCGCACAAGGCGAACGCAATGCTGAGAACAAAGTTACACAAGGAATGTGTCAGAGTTCCACTGTTCACAGTGGGAATCACCTAAGACAATTCACACCACAGAATGAGCTCCAGGCAGCTGGCTGCAGGGACGCGGAGGCCAGCAGGTGGAAGTCAGTATTTACAGCCACAGGTAGACATGGTCTCAGCACCTTCCCATTTGTCCCAGCCCAGAGGCGCTGTCTGAGCACACCACCTGGGGAGGGGGCAGGTCTAACCAGCCTGAAAGTGACCCTCACCAGGCCCTGCAGCCACGACTGCGGAAGAGGCCCATCCTCCCACAGGCCCTGCGTGTCCCTCCCACTTGGGCCACAGTCCCTGCCAGGCCCTGTATGTCCCTCCTACTTGGGCCATGGTCCCTGCCTCCCACAGACCCTGGATGTTCTTCCTGCTTGGGCCACAGTCCCTGCCAGGCCCTGGATGTCCCTCCTACTTGGGAAGAGCACTTATTCTTTCCAGAGCAGGGGCCCCACCCCAGCCCACCACAGACTTGGGGTGCAAGCCTCCTATTCACGGGTGCTCCTCGAGGTCTTCCTGGACGTCCCGAGCTCCTCTGGGTGCATTTTCTGTGCTGTTCACAGGCCCACTGCATGGCCCAGGAAGGAAAAGGGAGGGGAGGGGAGGGGAGGAGAGTAGGGACCCTTCTTGCTCCCAAACTGATGAATACTCAGCATTCACCTCCTTTCTCATTCAAAGGAAGGCCCTCACCAAACATCCCTGACTCTCGAAGGTGCTGTTCACTTATTCCTGATCCACTCAGTGGCTGGTCACCCTCAGCTGCCTGTAGCCCAGTGATTGGCTGACCTCCTGCACACGCCATGTGGGTAGCTTGCCAAGCCGCCCTCCCCACTGTTTCCAGGAAGGGCCAGGACTCCCAGAAAACAGGCAGGTTTGTGAGCCACACTGTCACTTACACTTTGCAAAGCAGCATGGGTGCGCTTCTACTCTGAAGCATCTGCCGAGGCCTGGAACACACCCAGCGGGCAGCCGTCTGCTCTGTTTTGGGGAAGGGTCTCTGACAGAGGGAGTACCAGGCCTGCAGCTCTGATGGGAAGAACAAGGGTGTCTGAGGGACCAGGGAGGAGGCTGGAAGAGTCAGGGGGACTTGCAGACCACGGTATTCATTTCTTACTGCCCCTGGACAATGTGGCAGCCTGAACAACACCCATTTATTACAGCAGTTGGAGAAGGTTGGCTCAGTGGGGTCCTTTGTTCTTGCAGGTCAAAGTGAAGGTGGCGGGGTGCCGTGGTGGGGGAGGGGGCGGTGCTATTGCGGGTGATGCTCTTGTCTGGGGCTCAAGGAAAGAACGTGCTTCAGGGTCACTGGGGACTAGAGCACTTCTCCCTGCGGCTGAAGGATGGAGGCCCTGCTCCCCTGCACGCTGTCAGTTCAAGGCTCACTGCACCCCTCTTCTCAAAGCCAGCAAGGAAGCCTGAGTCCACCCCACCCACTAAGGCACCCACTCTCCCACCCCATCCTCTCTGCCACCTCTTCCACCTGCAGCCAGAGGACGCTCTCTGCTCTCGGGGCTCATGGGATTACACTATGCTCACCCAGAATTCAGGATAACCTCCCTGGTTTAAGGCCAACTGTCTATGAAACAATGTGCTTCGAGGTAGCTTCTCATCACAATCAAGCTTCCATGGATGAGCACGGGGACTCCTTGAGGGGCTCTTAGAAATTCTGCTTCCCACAGCCATTGTGAGAGTGGCTTTTCCTGACCTGCTGGAGGGATGGGAACTGAGAGAGGTCTGAGCTGACATGTATTTTGGAAGAAACCTCTGGCTGTTGTGTTGAGACTGGATTGGATATAGATACAGCTCATGTATATTGTTCATTCACAGAGCACTTTCACCAAACACCCACATTCCAGCATTCCTGAATGTGGCCTGCTACCTCAGAACAGAATCTATGTCATCATCTATGTCATCATCTATCTAGCTATCTATTTGTCTATATCTATCATTTATCTGTATCTATATATCTATCATCTATTACCTATCTGTCTCTATCATCATCTGTCTATATCTACCCACCTGCCTATCTATCATCCTCTATCATCTATCTATCTGCCTCTGTCTATCTATCTATCCACCTGCCTGTCTGTCTGTCTATCTATCCATGTGCCTGTCTGTCTATAGACTGGATATGGGTGGGAGGGGCAGGGCAGCCATACAAAACAGGTACAGAAGTCACAGTGGTTCTGCTGGAGTAGTGATGGTGGAGGTGGTAAGAAATGGTTGTATCTGGAAAGAATTTTAGACCAGAGCTTCCCAAAGCACTCTCGATGCATACCCCACACCCTCGCTATCTTTGACAACTAGGGTTTTGTGGGTTTTTTTTGTTTTTTTTTTCCATAAGAATCTGGCTTAGCTGTAAATTTCAGGGCAATTCTGATTTACAATACAGAAAAATCCTCTAAGCAAAGATGTACAAAGACTGCAGGTCTGAAATTAGTGTGAAAAGAGAATATAAAGACAGGCCGGGTGTGGTGGCTCATACCTATAATCCAAGCACTTCGGAGGCCAAGGCAGGCAGATCACCTGAGGTCAGGAATTCAAGACCAGCCTGATCAATATGGTGAAGCCCCATCTTTATAAAAAAAAAATAAATAAATAAAAAAGAGAATATAAAGACAACATATGCAGTAAATATTTCAACACATTTACTCTGTGCACACGTCTGCAGCTTCAGTCACCCTTCTGATTCAGGTCCAGCCATACATCTCTCCCCCTGGGGGAAGGAGTCAGACCTAGAGCCCTTTTTCTTGAGGAGCTGGGCAGTGTGGACTGGACAGCAGAAGGAAGTCCAAGACGCCAAATCTGCACAACAAAGACTGAGCCAGATGCTTGAAGTCGCTGAGGCCCCAGAGGAGTTGGGAGAAGAGAGATGAGTGGCAGATTCCATTCTGCTGGCAAAGGAAGTGGGGACTGAGATCCATAGTGAGGGGGAAACAATTTTCAGAAGTTTTGGGATGTACCACAAATGTAATTCCCCCTTTGGTATTTTCTTGAAAGGCTTCAACAAGGGCTAGCAACACTTTCGGATGCAGGTGCTGTTTCTCTTCTTGACTGTGCCAAGACAGGGCACCCAGAATGACAGGGACGGCCTAGTGAAGCTCCGGCCCATTTACATGCTTTCTGCGAACAGAGGGTGTGATGACGCCTTTCATCTCTACTCTCTGATGGGAGAAAAAAGGTCTTGTTTTAATTTGCATTTATTTGATGGATTGTGAGGCTGAACACTTTGCTATGGTTGAGCAGTCATCTCCATGTCCTCATTTGTAACTCATCTGTTCAAGTACTCTGTCCCTTTTGCTGCTGCCGAGGTGTTTTTCTATTAAAACTCTTTACACATTGAGGATATTCTTGGCGGGGCATGGTGACTCACGTCTGTAATTCCAGAACTTTGGGAGGCTGAGGCCTGAGGATTGCTTGAGCCCAGGAGTTCAAGACCAGCCTGGGCAACATAGTGAGATCAGTCTCTAGAAATAAATAAATAAGCCAAGTGTGGTGGTGCACACCTGTGGTCCTAGCTACTCAGGAGGCTGAGATGGGAGGACTGCTTGGGCCTGGGAGTCAAGGCTTCAGCAAGCCATGATCACAGCACTGCATTCCAGCCTGAGTGACAGAGTGAGATCCTGTCTCTAAATAAATAAATAAATAAATGGATTTATCCTTTTTATGTAAGTGTTGACTATTCAATCTCAGCAGGTCATTGCTCTATGTCTTCTGTTTGCTTGCCTGTGCACTGCCTTAACTTTGAGGTTATGTATATGAATTCTTCCTGTCTTCTTTTTGTTGTGTTCCAAGATAAAAGACAACATTGAGGAATGCTTGAACGTAGGTGTTTTGTGAAAGTATTCTGTGAAATAAACAGTATAGATGAGCAAATGTGGGCCACCAAAAAGAAAAGAGAGAGAAGAGAGGGAAGGAAAGGGAGGGGGAAGGGAAGGAAAAGAAGAAGGGAAGGGAGGAGGAAGGCAAGGGAAGGGGAGGGGGGAGGGCAGAGGAAGGGGAAGAGAAGGGGGAGGGGGAGGGCAGGGAAGTGGGGAAGGGAAGGGAAGGGGGAGAGAAGGGAGGGGAAAGGGAAGGGAAGGAAAGAAAGGGAGAAGGGAAGGGGAGGGGGGAGGGCAGGGGAGGGGTAAGGGAAGGGGAGGGGGAGGGCAGGGGAGGGGTAAGGGAAGGGGAGGGGGAGGGAAGGGAAGGGGGAAAGGGAAGGGAAGGAAAGGAAGGGGGAAGGGAAGGGAAGGATGGGGGAAGGGAAGGGAAGGATGGGGGAAGGGAAGGGAGGAGGAAGGGAGGGGAAAGAGGAAGGGAATGGAAGGGAAGGGAATGGAAGGAAGGGAGAAGGGAAGGGAAGGAAGGGGGAAGGGAAGGGAGGGGGAAGGGAAGGGAAAGAGGAAGGGAAGGGAATGGAAGGGAAGGGAAAGGAAGGAAGGGAGAAGCGAAGGGAAGGAAGGGGGAAGGGAAGGGAAAGAAGAAAGGAAGGGAAGGGAGGGGGAAGGGAGGGGAGGGGAGGGGAGGAAAGGGAAGGGAGGGAAAGTTTGTGGTACATCTCAAAACTTCTTAAAATTATTTCTCTCCTGGCCCCCTCTTTATGAATCTCAGTCCCCATTTCCTTTGGCAGCAGAATGGAAGCTGCCACTCAACTCTCTCATCCCAACTCCTCCTTCTCCACGTGTCCAGGGGAGAAGAGAGGAGGGGAGGGGAGGATAGGATCCCAGGCGCACTGGGATCTGGCTGACCCAGAAACAAAACTGAGGCTACAGGCTTCACTCAGCAAACTCACTTCATGTCCCTATTTCATGCCAGAAACTTTTTTGGAGCTGAGGATTCAATGGAAAGCCAGACCGAGAGGATTCTGCTCTCATGAGTTTGGAGACCGGTGAGCAAGCCGTCAAAATGTGCTGCGTTACAGGCAAAGGAAAAATAAAGACAAAGAGAGCCTCGCTGCACTTTCTCCAGCGTGACTCTAGGCAATGGCTTGAGGGGACAGGAAAAGAATGGTATTTTTCAAAGTAAAACCACGATTCTCATTCAAATATAAAACGGACACACACCAAATATTTGGTTTTATTTGTGAATGAATGAGGAAACCAGTAAGACATTACAATCAATTCAACAAGGATTCACACACACTCATATACTGGCAATCAGAATGCTAAGATGAATTTACAGGCAGACATAACACTGGCCAATACCTATAAGGCAATAAGCGATTGCGTTCTTACAGCAGACATTTGCCTGCCTTTCAGTGGACAAGAATCATGTGCATGACTCTCTTTTCCACAACTTAAGAAGAGTGGTGACAGAGCTTAGGGACAACAGAAGGCCTCATAGACTCAGCCAAAGCAGGGAGCAGGCCAGGAAAGGTGAGCCAGCAGGACAACCAGAGACTGTTTTTATTTTGGTTTTTGCCATAGTAGAATTTCACGATCTTCCTGGCCTGCCCACAGCAACCAGTCAGTCCTGAGTATGGCCAGGCCCCTGCATGTGGTGACCTGGCACCTGGCCTTGATCTTCAAGAAAACTGAGCCCAAAACAAAGGCACTGTCATGGGGGGAGGGGGGCGGAGGGTGGTCTGCAATCCCCAGGAAGAAGGAGTGGGGTTAGGGGAAGGAGATGGTGAAGAAAGGGGATGAATTCAAAGTGATGCTCTATGTTATTTATTTATGTATTAATTTTGAGCTGCCACAGATCACAAAGAAAACAGCCAATGATGACTGGTGAACGTGTCTCAGGGAGGCCATGGGGGCCCCTACACCTTGAGATGTTCTAAGGTGGGGAGGAGGGAAAGCAATTGGCCTGGCAGTCCCTTTCCCTTGCTCAAGCCCCTGGCGTTTGCCCAAACAGAAATGGTTGGAGGGGTCAGGACGACAGGCGGGCTGCTCAGTGCAGAGGAGGCAGCCGGCACCCACTCTGGCTGGGGAAGAGCTGATGGCCCAGGGCCCGGAAGGGGTGCGCAGTGGAGCAGATGGGGAGCGGGCAGCAGACCCAGTGAAAAGCGAGAGCCAGCACTGCAGCCACAGGTCAGGCATTCGACAGTCAGCGGTCATTTGACATGGTCACCTGGCCCTACTTATCCACTCATGATGTCCAGAGGAAGCATGAGCATACACGGCACCTATGTGATAGAACGTGCTTCTCCCCATCCTTTCCCAGGTCGCTGGGAGCTGACACCCAGACGAATGCAGCAGGGACGAAACAGTGGTAAGCCGCCGCTGAGCTTCTGTCCTGGTGTAGGTCAGCTGACCCCACTGAGAGCCTACACTTACCCAGGAGAGAATCACACCTGGCCCTTCTGAATGCTGAGGTGCCTTCAGATTCTAATCGTAGCAGATGCCATGAGCTCTGCCCACATTTCTCTGTGTCTGTTGGCCATTTTTATGCACCTGATCCCCAGGTCTCTCAGTCCCAGCATCCAGCTTCTGAATTTTGCAGGGGGCTGCCCTCCAGTCACAGGACCCGCTTTCCTGTGGCTCTCTGAGCTCCTGGAGGGCTAGGCTGTCTGGAAATTTACAATCCTTAGCCAGTGAATGACAGATAAGACAGAGAGTACCTGAGCACCGCCCCTAAACCCGAAAGGGACACCTTTGAGCAGTGACCAGTAACTTCCCAGTTCCTTCATGGGATGAAGCTGGAATCACCCCCAGCACTTGGCCTCCTCCCCACCCAGTACTGCCCGAAATTCCCATGCTGGTTTTCCAGGGAACACATCATTTATCCTGCTTCCACACAAATCCTCATCTTGGGATCTGCTTCTAGGAACCCAGACTGAGATATCAACCACTTTCACACCAGTGTCCAAATTCCATTTCCAACCAGGTGCCGAGGATGGCCAGGTGAGCAGCAGAGGGCGATGGCGGGAATTCTGAGTCAGCCTCAGGCACACGGTCACGCCATGAGTCCCAGAGTCAATTGCAAAACCAAGTGTGTAGTGCAATCCAACTTTTAGAAAGAAAAATAAATCCTTTACACATGACTGTGTAATAAAGAATTGAACCTTGCCTGGAGAGACCTGGCTTCTTCTCTCAGCTTCTGAGAAGTGGTCTCTAAGCCTTGGAATGTCATGCCTGATGAGAGGGTCTTGGTTTGCCTGGGACCTCCAGACCATACCAGGAAGACTACAGTGAGATTTAAGTGGAAGTTGTGATCAGCTCACCCCCCAGGGTGAGTTGGAGACCACCATCTGCATGGGCAGTCAACCGTGGGGCCCCAGTAGAGACTCTGGGACATTAAGCTCAGGCGATCCCGCCTGGATGCCAGAAGTGACGCTGTTCACAGCTTCACAGGGAAGGATAGCTGGATGTTCTGCAGGTAGGACCTTCCTGAACTCTGGCCTGAGCACCTTTCCCTGGGTTGATTTTAATCTGTGTCCTACCCCGTGCTAAGTCATGACCATGAGTATAACAGCTTTCAGTGAGTTTTTCTAGCAAATTATCATACCTGAAGGTGGTTTTGGGGACCTTTACCCTTGCAATTGGTGCAAAACTGAGGGCGGTTTTGTGGATTATGGTTCCCTCTAGCCCTGCAACGATGCTGACTGTAAATTCATACAAGTATTTGTTAGACACTGGAATACTATATGCAAAATGCAGGAAGTGGATACCTCTGGGCTGTAGGGTCATGCACATGTGTGTATTCTTGTGCTTTTTATTTATTTTGTGCAAGGCACTGTGATTACGAAGATGGCTGATCACCAGCAGCTCAGGATTGTAGCTCCCACTGAAAGCACAGAGAACAAGAGAATGCCACACTTTCAGATCAATTTTTGTTGCTCACGCACCAGGAGATTCCCAGCAGAGGAGCAGCACGGGTCGCCAGCGCGACTCTTGAGGCTGGTGAGGTGGTTTTGCTGCTGCCTTGGTGCAGCGGTTCTCAGTGCACAGTCAGAAAAGCACCATCAATCTTAAAGCCGCTGTTTTGGCTGGCGCAGTGGGTTGCTCAGATTTTAGCACCAGGAATCAACAAGTTGGACGTCCATTCAGAAACCCAACCATAAAGATGGTAATTATAAAGACCATAGATGGATAAATTTATAACGAAGGGAAGAAATCAGCCGAAAATGGCTGAGAATACCCAAAATCAGAACGCTTCTCCCTCTACAGGAGATCACAGTTCCTCATCAGCAACAGAACAAGGCCTGATGGAGAAAGACTGTGTTCCATTAGCAGAGGCAGGCTTTAAAAAGTGGATGATAAGAAACTTCTGGGAATTAAAAGAACCTGTTCTAACCCAATGCAAAGAAAGGACTTTGAGAAAAGGTTTGATGAAATGTTAACAATAACACACAATTTAGAGAGGAATATAAGTGAATTAATGGAGCTGAAAAACACAACACGAGAACTTCGCGAACTAAGCACAAGTTTTAACAGCCGAATTCATCAAGCAGAAGAAAAGATATCAGAGGTCGAAGGCCAACTTAATGAAATAAAACAAAAAGACAAGATTAGAGAAAAAAGGATAAAAAAGAATGAGCAAAGTCTCCAAGAAATATGGGACTATGTGAAAAGACCTAATCTACGTCTGATAGGTGTACCTGAATGTGACGAAGAGAATCAATCAAAGCTGGAAAATACGCTTCAGGATATTATTCAGGAAAACTTTCCCAACCTAGCAAGGCAGGACAATATTCAACTCCAGGTAATACAGAGAACACCACAAAGATATTCCTCAAGAAGACCAACCTCAGGGCACATAATTGCCAGATTCACCAGGGTTGAAATGAAAGAGAAAATACTGAGGGCAGCCAGGGAGAAAGGTCAGGTTACCCATAAAGGGAAGCCCATCAGACTCACAGCAGATCTCTCAGCAGAAACCATACAACACAGAAGAGAGTCGGGGGCCAACATTCAACATCCTTAAATAAAAGAACTTTCAACCCAGAATTTTACATCCAGCCAAACTAAGCTTCATAAGCGAAGGAAAAATAAAATCTTTTGTGAACAAGCAAGCACTCAGAGATTTCATCACCACCAGGCCTGCTTTACAAGAGCTTCTGAAAGAACCACTACAAATAGAAAGGAACAACCAGTATCAGCCTTTCTAAAAAATACCAAAAAATAAAGAACATCAACATAATTAAGAACTCGCATCAACTAATGGGCAAAACAGCCAGCTAACATTAAATGGCAGTATCAAACTCACATATATTGTTATTAATTCTAAATTTAAATCGACTAAATCCCCCAATCCAAAGACACAGACAGGCAAAAAAAGCCAAGACCCATTGGTATGCTACATCCAGATCCATCTCACATGCAAGGATACACAAAGACTCAAAACAAAGGGATGGAGAAAAATTTACCAACCAAATGGAGAGCAAAAATAAATAAATAGAAAGCAGGAGTTGCAATTTGTGCTGATAAAATAGGCTTTAAAGCAACAAAGATCAAAAGAAGCGAAGTAGGATATTACATAATAAAAGGATCAATGTAACAACAAGAGCTAAAGATTCTAAATATATACACACCCAATACAGGAATACCCAGATATATAAGACTTATAAAGAGACTTGGACTCCCACACAATAATAGTGGGAGACTTCAACATTAATTTTAGACAGATCAGTGAGACAGAAAGTTAACAACGATATCCAGGACTTGAACTCAGATCCGGAACAAGTAGACTTCATTAACATTTATATAACTCTCCACTTTAAATACACAAAATATACACTCTTATCAGTACCACATCACACCTATGTATAGGTTTAAATGAAATATTGGTTGGCTGCTTGTTAATTATTTTCTTCCCTCATTTTTTTTTATGTCTCTATTATTAAACACAATTACAGCAAAAAAAAAAAAAAAAAAGAAAAGACACTGTGATTACATATAGTGGGTGTTCCCTCAACCAACCTCTGCTCCAACAACTCACATAATCTTGGTCAAAATGGGCTGGATGACTCATTGAGCGCAGGTGGGCACGGGGCTGCTCCTTGCTTGTTGTGGATTTCGTCAGTTGAGATGTGGCCAACCAGGAGACACTTAGGTTTGCTCCAAACCTGCTTACGACACCTGTGATCCTTACTAGTGTCAGAGGCATTTGAAACAGAGCAACTCCATCTTGAATAGGGGCTGGGTGAAATGAGGCTGAGACCTCCGGGCTACATCCCAGGAAGTTAAGTGTTCTTAGTCACTGCATGAGATAAAAGGTCAGCACAAGATATAGGTCACAAATACCCTGCTGATAAAACAGAATATGGTAAAGAAGCTGGCTGAAACCAAGATGGCAATGAAGGTGACCTCTGGTCATCCTCACTCCTCATTATACACTAATTACATGCACTAGCATGTTGAGACCCTCCCACCAGTGTGATGACAGTTTACAAATGCCATGGCAATGTCAAGAAGTTACCCTATAGGGTCTAAAAAGGGGAGGAACCCTCAGTTATGGGAATTGCCCACCCCGTTCCCGGAAAACTCATGAATAATCCACCCTTTGTTTAGCATATCGTCAAGAAATAACTATAAGTGTAATCAGTCGAGCAGCCCACACACTGCTTTTCCCATGGAGTAGCCATTCTTTTTTTCCTTTACTTTCTTAATAAACTTGCCTTCATTTTATGGACTCCCTCAAATTCTTTCTCGTACAAGGTTTAAGAACCTCTCTTGGGGTCTGGATCAGGAGGACCCTTTCCAGTAACACTATGGAACTTAATTAAACATTCTGTAACCTATTATACATAGGTGCAAAATGAAAGAAAGTTGTTTTTTTTTTTTTTTTGTCCCAGGAAGAGTGTTAGAAAAAAGTTGTTTCTAAATAAACCTAGATAAATGATTCAGGAAATCAAGATCAAGGCAAGTTGAAGCTGCTTTAAAAACTGATTTTGAATTAGGTATAGACAAGATGACTCTTAAAAATGAAAAATAATTGGTGAACGTTTGGAGAAATTCTGGTCTTAGATTGTTTTAAAAAAATATGAACACTTTTTGGTCCACTTTAAAAAATATGAAATTGGGTAGCCAGAAGAAGAATTAAGACTGGGGTTTATATTAAAAAAGAAGAAATCCAATCAGCAGATCAATTAAATACAAGCTTGGCTGGGTGCGGTGGCTCACACCTGTAATCCCAGCACTTTGCAAGGCTGAGGAGGGCAGATCACCTGAGATCAGGAGTTCAAGACCAGCCTGACCAACATGGAGAAACCCCGTCTCTACTAAAAACACAAAATTAGCTGGGCCTGGTGGCACATGCCTATAATCCCAGCTATTTGGAAGGCTGAGGCAGGAGAATCACTTGAACCCAGGAGGTGGAGGTAGAGGTTGCGGTGAGCTGAGATTGTGCCTCCCGCCTGGTCAACAAGAGCGAAACTCCATCACACACATAAAAAATATATACAAGCTTGTCCCTATACGGAAATATCCAGATTCATGAATGGAGCCAGAAGTGGCCAGACAGTGATGACGGCCAGAGGGAGGGTTGGAGGCCTGGGACTGTGATGTGGGCTAGGAAGGGGTGGGAGGGCTTCTCTGGAGTCACAGAAGCCTCATGCATCTTGACTGGGACCATGGCTGCATGGCTTACATTGGTCCCAACTCATCCACATGTATGGCTGATAACTGAACATTTCATTGAATTGGACTAAAAGGCAGGACCTCAGGCAAAATTCATGTTAAGAAGGGAGTTTGGGTGAAGCTTGGGGATTGCCACCAGAAGTATAGATTCAAGTTGCCCTGAATACATCTATTAGTAGCAATTATAGGTGGGTTTTTCAAGGGAAAAGAAGAGGCGGTTCCAAGTTGTTTACCAAGAAGTTATGTTAAAATAACATGATCTATTTGTTGGCTCTACATTGTTAAGCCACAGGGTATGAGTTGTAGTATCTGCTGCTGCACTATTAGGTTAACTTGAGGCTGCAGAAAGCAGTTTGCAGACATCAATACACAGCTCCAAGGAGGGGAGAGGGAGATGACTGCCATCTCATTTCATACCTCTCTGGGCCTGACCATTTGAAAGGACTTGCATTCCTCAGCAAAAAGTTATTTTCTTAATTGTATGAAAATTATACCTCAGTAAGTTTATTACAAAAATTAATGAATAGATATGCATAAGTTTACAAGTTAAAAACATATGTAAATATGTTCACTCCCTTTTTTAACCTATTTTCATCAGTTTTAAAAATTAACTAGAAAGAAATAATAAGAAATAAAAAGAAATCACAACGGAAAAGTGTTTCTTCCTTTTGTTACTTTCATAATGAAATAAGAAATGTATTTTAAATAACATTTAAATTTAATTTTTTCATTATCATCTGGGAAGCCCCAGCTCTGTATGAAAGGAAAATAATGTCCACTTTAGAGTAAAAACTTGCTGATGGAAAAACCAAACTCCATAAAATTCTTTTTTTATTTTGTTTTTTGTTGTTTTGAGATGGAGTCTCACTCTGTCTCCTAGGCTGGAGTACAGTGGCGCGATCTTGGCTTACTGCAACCTCCACCTCCTGGGTTCTAGCGATTCTCCTCAGCCTCCTTAGTAGCTGAGATTACAGGCATGCGCCACCATGTCTGGCTAATTTTTGTATTTTTAATAAAGAGGGAGTTTCACCATGTTGGCCAGGCTGGTCTCAAACTCCTGACCTTAGGTGATCTGCCCACCTCAGCCTCCCAAAGTGCTGGAATTACAGGTGTGAGCCACCCTGTCCGGCCTTCCATAAAATATTTTAAAGAGGTTATTTCTGAGCCAATAGGAGTGACCATGACCTGGGGAGACAGGGTCCAAGGAGGCCTGAGAAAGGGCCTGAGGTTGGGTTGCAGTTTGGTTTTCATATTTCAGGGAGGCCGGAATTTA